TGACAAGATTTCTCAGAAGTTATTTGCCATTTCTTCCTTCCTAGGTGAAAATCCATAACAACAAAAAAATGCAATCTGAACCATATCAAAGGATTTTTTTCAGTGTCCAACAAAACTTGGGATCGAATCCAAGATATATACCCCATTTTTTTTCTTTAGCAGTTTGCCTTGGCTCTAATTCCTTATACTTCAATTAAATCCCAAGGGAAGAATGTCTTTCCAGGTGACATCTACTCAGCTACTTGCCTAACAGCACAGAGAGTAAAACAAATTGCTTTCATTCTGCTCTGCACATTCCTAACATTATTTCTGTCTCAAAATATCCAAGGAACAATGTTGTTTCATGACACACTGTTGAGGAAACAGAGCCTGCCAAACTCAACTTGATTCTAATCTGTTAGATAAAGAAAATTGGATCATGTTCATTACAGATGAGAATGTGTGCCAATTTCCTTGCCTAGTCCTTGAAAAATATGTGCTTTTCACAGCCTGTCTGGGACAACATTTCTGATATTGAGAAATGTTTTCCTTTACATACTCCCATTTTTTACCAGTCCAGCCCACCAGGAAAACCAGTTTTTTTCTGGATCCCAAAATGAGTCTTTTCTCTAGACTAGCCGTATCCAATTCCTGCAACAATTCTTAAAACATATGAAGAACAGTTGCAGGAATTGGGTATGGCTAGTCTAGAGAAAAGAAGGACTAGGGGAGACATGATAGCAGTCTTCCAATATTTGAGGGAAGAGAGGGTCAACCTATTCCCCAAAGCACCAAAAGGCAAGGCAAGAAACAATGAATGGAAACTAATCAAGGAGAGAACCAACCTAGGACTAGGGAGAAATTTCTTGATGATGAGAACAATTAATGAATGGAAGGGCTTGCCTTCAGAAGTTGTGGGTGCTCCATTCCTGGAGGTCTTCAAGAAGAGACTGGACAGCCACTTGTCTGAAATAGTCTAGAAGACCTCCAGAAGACCTCACAATAGACCTTCCAGATCTATTATGATTGATTGAAAGGTTATGTTTGCTGGTCCTGTAAGGCTCTGCCTTGCCTCCTAACTCAAGAAAGTGAAGATTCTTGAAACTGAGTATTTCCAAAGGAACCTTTTATTGGGCAGAAGTGCAAGCAGGACAATCAAAACAGAGTCTGAATTCCCTCAGGTAATACAGTTAAACTTAAGACAGTAAAATTCCCTCCCTCAAGTCAGATGTGGATTCAGCCAATCCATAGGTGTGAAGATGTTGTTGTAACGGCCATCCTGAGAACAAGATAAGCAGGCATTCCCATGGCCATCTTCCTCTGGCTTTTGGAGTGAAACAACCCACATGGCCCTCCCCTAACACATTCCCCCAAAGGTAAGAAAATCTCAGGGCGCTCAGGCACCAGGATACAAGTTATAAAATAGCCGTTGTCAAAGGCAATAAGAATGAATCACATCAGGGGGTGGGATTCCACCGGTATAACAACCGGTTCGGTGATCATGCGCTTTGCAGCCTCTGTGAATAAAACAGCTGAGGCACAGCAAACTGCTCTGCCACGCAAATCAGCTGTGCTCTAGACAAAAATAAAGGGCAGGGAAGAGCAGGAGCAGGCGGGCCCACATGCTTGTCGCAGCACAATGGTTCAGACTCAGCTGATCATCGGAACAAGGGGTTCACTCCAACCAGTCCAAACTGGTAGAATCCCAGCCCTGAATCACATTTGGGGTTTCCCCCCTTCTCTCAATTGAATGGCAGTATCACTTTTAGGGATCTGTCAGGTCCATTTTCCTGGATTAAACCAACATTTGCTGGGATATAAAAATACTCCTTTTGCTTCTAGGAGTCATATTAAGTGCATGGCTAAATGCAGTCTGCTATTGCTGTTGCTGCAAGACAACAGTTATTTATAATGATTGACAGACTGTCTTAGAAATAGCTGGCTGAAAATCCCCATAATGTATAGTTAGGTGAATAAATCTAGATTGTTGTATCAGAAGAAGCCCATGAAGGAAAATGTTCTGATGGACTTTGTTGGTAATTTCAGCCTTTCACTTCAAGATGTCATGCTGCAAAATCCATTACACGGTTTGTTCCTTGAGGTCAAGAGGTGAATTCACATTTATTGACAATATAAAAATAGACATGCATTAATATGGGCATTCTGAGTATATGTCCATATCTGTGTCTTTCTGAGACGATACATTTATGTAGGAAACTCATAAAACCAATTACAAAAATAGGAAAAGTTGCTGATATATAAATAAAAGTAAGTCTTACAATGAATGGTCCCTTTCATAGAGTGGTTCATGAGGATTTTCATGAAAGGAACCAAAAGTCCAAATGGGGATATTGCACTATAATTCTTATAATATCCAATCTCTGACAATGATAGCTTGACATGGTAAAATACAGAATCTAAATATACCTAATGAATATCAGGGGAGAGTTGCTGTTAGCCCCATGGTCCTTCTATGCTGTATCCGTTAAGGCTTATCTCAATATTTATGGAGCACAGCAATCTTGTCTTTACAAAACTAATTTATTGAGTGAAAATAGCCCCTTTTTTGGACCACGCCCATCTCCATAATAAAAAGCACAACTTTTAATTTTGCGCCTAAAGGCAAAGTTAAAAAAGAAGCAATGGATGGAAACATTAAAGAGAGATCCAATCGAGAAGTAAAATGAAATTTCCTGTCAGTGACAACAATTAATCCATGGAATGGTTTACCTCCAGAAGTTGTGGGGGCTCCATCACTGGAGGTTTTGGAGAGCCATTTCTCCAGAATAGTATAGGGCCTCCTACTTGAGCAGGGAATTGGACTAGAAAACCTACAAAGTCCCTTCAAATTCTATTATTCTGCTTTTTTTTTTTTCAGCTCTCATAATAATTTCTTCAGCATCCTCTTCCAGATCATGATTTACACAAGTTCCTGTTATTATTTAAGCAGGCAATTAGTTATTGTTGGCAGAAACACTCCATATATTAGTCACTGTAAGTCAATTACCATGGGCTGAGTCTCTCAACACGATTAATCAAAGTGTTGTAATCATAAATAGGGCTTAGCGAGCCATTGATAATACACAAAGTCTATTTTTTGTTGGAAAAAGCCCCAGCGGAGCCTTTTCTTGCAACTGAATCCATGTGTTTTGCAGTCCCTTCATGTGCTGAAGAATCACTTTTGTATATTTAACTGTAGGTGCTATGTCTTTAGCTTCTGATAATAAAATTGCCCTTTTTAATGCAATGGAAGGGAGAAAATATTAGATATGTAGCTGAGCTGGGCACACTCAATCAAAGCGATCCAGCTGTGTGGTTTCACTGTGCTTTATTTTGGAGGAGCTTAAGAGGAGGAGAAGGTGGAGCTGGTAGAGGAGGAGGAAGAGGAGGGGAGGAGAAAGGAGAGGAGTTGGAAAAGGAGAAAGAGGAGGAGGCACTGGAGGAGGAGCGGGAGGAGAAGAAAGAGGAGGAGGGGGAGGAAAGGAAGAAGAGGAGCAGGAGGAGGAAGAGGAGGGGGAGGAGAGAAAGAGGAGGTGGAAGAGGAGAAGAGAGAGGAGGAGGAGATTATTCTATGTCAGTATCAAAGGTTGTTTCAGTGCTTCTAATTAGAAGCTAATTTCCAATTAAATCTTTGTGAAGTAATGGAATAGCTAGACATGAGAAGTATAGGTAGTCCTCGATTTACGATCACAGTTGAACCCCAAATTTCCATTGCTGAGACAATTCTGAGTTTTGCTCCATTTTATGGCCTTGTCACAGTTCTTAAGTGAATCACTTAAGACAGGGACAGTAGGCACGCTGGTGGACTTATGCACGTTCCCTTTAAGGACCTCTTAGGAATGGGGTGAGGTCCACGGTGGACCATTTGAGGTTGAAGCTGTGAGGGGTTGAGGCTGGAACAACAGAGTCGGGTAAGGCATTCCAGGCGTTGACCACTCTGCTGCTGAAGTTGTATTTTCTGCAATTGAGTTTGGAGCGGTTTACCTTGAGTTTGTATCGGTTGTTTTCCTGTGTATTTTTGTGATTGAAGCTGAAGAAGTTGTTGACAGGTAAGATGTTGTAAAAAACAATTTTGTGAACTATGCTTAGATTGGACCACAGTTGGCGCAGTTCTAGATTTTCCAGGCCCAAAATTTCGAGCCTGGAGACGTAGTGAATTTTATTGTGAGTGGAGGAGTGGAGAACTTTTCTTGAGAAATACCTCTGAACCGGCTCAATTGTGTTAATGGCTGTGCTAAATCTGGCAACCATTTTGTGCAAATCCTCACCACACACACTCCACATGTTTAATGTGCCAAGAATCTCCGTTTGTCTAACCATTTCACCAGGAAACAAATCCAGCCCATCTCATATTAATCTGCTGGTGTGAACTAATGATGATGGATCAGTTAATGTGCTCAGGAAATCAACTGAAGAGTCTCCTATGATCTGATTGTGAAAATAATGTGCTTTTGGTGTGAAAGCAAGTCTGTATTTCCTTGCAGCATTGCCTCTTCCATGTGTAGAGTGAGGGAGAGGTTAGTTGCAGGCAAATCTTTTGTCCAGAAAAAAAAGTAGGAAGATGGAAAGTAGAATACAGGTAATCCATCCTCAACTTACAACAGTTCGTTTAATGCCTGTTCAAGGTTACAGAATTACATGACCATTTTTCATAATTGTGACTATTGCAGCATCTTCCCCAGGGCCACCTGGTTTACATTCAAATGCTTGACAACTGACTCACATTTAGGATTGCACTCTCCCAGGGTGATGTGATCCCCTTTGGCAACCTTCTGACAAGCCAAGTCAATGAGGAAACCAATTTCACTTAACAACTGTATTACTAATTTAACAACAGCCGTGATGCATTTAACAAACATGATGAGAAAAGTCATAAAATGGGGCAAAACTCATTTAACAAATGTTTTACTCAGCAATATAAATTTTGGGCTCAATTGTGGTCATAGGTTGAGGACTACCTGCAATGGTTTTATAAATACTTGGCTTCTCCAAAAATGCTAATCGATAATGTACTTTTTCAGAAACCAGCCCCTATATCATTATTAAGTGTGAGAACAGTAAGGTCCGGTCTCCCTCTCAGGAAGACAGGGGGGCTGCTGTTTTCAACACCCAGGCTGTTTTCTACAAAAGGAAGGTTGACAGCCCCATTATTGTCCAGGTAAGAGAATCCGTGTGATCTGTATTTGCGCCACTTTTGTGTTTAAATGAATATTGTTTATTTATATGTTTATTTCTTTTGTTTGTTACATTTATTTGCCATCTACCTTACCATGACATTAATAATCATTTTACACCAATATGGTGGTGTGGACAAGAACCTGGATCAGGATTGGGCAAGAAGAGGGTATATAGCGAAGAACCCAGATTTAAATCCAACCCTTGTCCTGGAAACAGGTGGTTTAGGATCAGTCAGTTTTTCTCAAACCCAATCTGTCCAACGAGCCAAATTGCAGGAATTGGGTATGTCTAGTTTAATGAAAGAAGGTCTAGGGGTGACATGATGGCAATGTTCCAATATTTGAGGGGCTGCCACAAAAGAAGAGGGGGTCAATTTTTCTCCAAAACACCTGAAGGCAGGACAAAAAGAAATATATGGAAATGGGACAAAGAGAAAAGCAAACTAGAACTAAGGAGAAATTTCCAGATAGTCAGACAATTAACCAGCAGAACAACTTCAGAGGTAGTGGGTGCTCCAATACTAGAAATTGGACAATCGTTTGTTTGAAATGGTATAGGGTCTCCTGCTTGAGCAGGAGGTTGGACTAGAGGATCTCCAAGGTCCCTTTCCAACTCTCTTATTCTGTTAAGCTTCCTAGAATCACCCACCAGTATTTAAATTTTAAACGCAGCTGAATTTTTACAAAGTGAAAGGCAACTGCAGTTGTATTTTTATACAGGGAAATCTGCCAGGAGCCATCTGGCAGCAACCTCAGTGCTGACAAGAGGAAGAGAGAGTGGAATGCTCCACGTTTCTCCAGAGAAATGTTTTTTTTTTTCCTATTAGTACTGACACCCTGGATGCCCTTTGAGTTGGAATAGTCACTGCATGCAGTTGCGAGATGGTCTTTCAGACCACAGGTTTTACTTTTTAATCCTGAAAAATTCAGCAGAAGGCTTCTAAATCCTTTGCACACACCCATTTGTGATGGCGAACCTATGACACGCGTGCCGGACGTGGCATGTAAGAGGTCGCCTGGAAGAGCCTCATTGCGCATGCGCATGCGCCCCCCGCCAGCCAATTGATTGTCAGGTATCTGCCATGCATGCACGGGGAGAGATGTGTGCGTGGGAGACAGGTGCGCATGCGCAGAGGCATGGGCATGCGGGGGGTTGCATGCACATGCGCAGGGGCGTGTGGTGCGAAGGGGCGTGCATGCATGCACAGAGTTGCATGGTGTGCATGCAGGGGGTCATGCGCACATGCGCAGGGGCACAGGGAGTTGCGCACGCATTGTATCAAACGTGCACATGTGTGCACACACGTGCACTTTTGGCACGCAACGTGGAAAAGGTTAGCCATCACTGGCCTATATGTTGCATTCTCACCAGAAAATCTCTCCAAACTGCTGACACCCAGAAAGAGCACTTAGAATAGTTCTTTTAGTAACCATGCAAAGTTACAACAACGCTGGAAAAAGTGACTTTGGGCTGTTATTCACACTTATGACCGATTGTAGCATCCCCACGATCACATGATCAAAATTCCAATGCTTGGCAACTGACTCATATTTATGACAGTCGCAGTGTCCCGGGTTCATTGGTCTTCTTTTGTGATCTTCTGACAAACAAAGTCAAGGGGGAAATCAGATTCACTAAAGAACCATGATACCTAATTAATAATGTAAGTTTCACTTAGCAACAGAAATTTTGGGCTCAATCATAGTCGTAAATTGAGGACTACCTATACAGAAACCCTAAAGCTTTTCCTTAGGATAATGCAGGTAGTCCTCGATTTACAACCACAATTGAGCCCAACCTTTTGGTTGCTAAGCAAGGCAGTTGTTAAGTGAATTATGCGTCATTTTGTGACCTTTTTTGCCACAGTTGTTAGGCCAATCACTGCAGCTGTTAAGTGAATTGTGCAGTCATTAAGCAACCTTGTTTGTCCAAAGCTAGCTGGGAAGATTACAAATGATGATCTCATCTGGGACAGTGCAACTGTGCTAAATACATACCTGTTGCCAAGCACCCAAATTTTGATCTTGCAATTATGGCGATGCTGCAGCAGTCATAAGTCTGAGAAACAGTCATGTCACTTTTTTCAGTGCTGTTGTAATTTTGAATGGTCACTGAGTGAATGGTTGTAAATCAAGGACTGCCTTAAGATGATTACAAGATGATTATTAAAAAGTAGAGCAGTGGTCAGCAAGACTCCACAAACTCAGTCTCAGCCCCTAGTAAGTTCCTGGACATATCCATGCAATTGTGTTGGTATGATCCAGAACTTTCTTGCAGGGTCTTGTTCTGGCTTTCAGATCTTATCTCCCATCCCTACACCAATCTCATCTACAAGATGCAAATGATTATCATGATTACATTACAGCTAAATAAAACCAATTACACTGTTAAGAAAACAGTTTTTCCCCCAGGGAATTTGGCCAAAAGGATGTGCAACGGAGAGTAAGCTCTGAGCAAAGTTTGAAGTTCTGATCTCTTCTGGATGAGGACTTTTGCATTGGAAAGACCATGTGTAAAGGCAATGGTAGATTTTTCTTTGCCTTCTCTTCACTTTAGGTCTGGCACAATGCTTTCATTGACCGATTCCTGGGAGAGGTCCGACTGTCTGGGTCACCCAGTGACCCTCAGGATCTTCAGAAGTACCAACTCCATGGCAGAGGCCAGCAAGAAGCAGAAGAAGTACCAGGTCAAATCACTATCAAGACACTTTCCAGCGATGACCTGATGGAGCTATGAGTTGCGGGGTCTGATAGGCCCCAAGAGGGAATTCTTTGGTCTGTAATCTCTGGGTTGCAAATGGACAGTACAAAAATTTATAAAGAGACACAGGTGGGACTGGATTGTTACCAATGGGATGACCTCCTCTTTCTTCCCTCTCTTCAGATGCCATTTATTTTCCAAATTGTAATCAATGCTGAACAATGGTTCACTCATAACCATTGGGTGGACCATTGCTATAACTTTTCAGGCTTTTAGTTAAAAAATAGGATCATGTCACAGAGCTAACCAGGTTAAGTTCCAAACTTAACTGCTGAATAGCTTCATACCAGTTTTCTCAGTGGAAGTGGATCATTGTTTGGGTCAGCTGAGTTACTTTTGGGGTGAAATATCAACTTTGTCCCAAATCCTGCTAGAACTGCTAGGAAGAATCCATTCTTTTTTCTTCAGAATCAATGCAGCCACTGAATAAGAGATGCTTTATTTGACGTGTGGGATGACACATCCCATGATGGGAGGCTTAATGTTGCAGAATGGCCAAATAGGTGCTTTGAGTACTTCGTCTTCACACAGCTCTATCTTATGCTTGAGCCAAATAATAATAATAATAATAACAACAACAATAACAACAATAATAACAACAATAATAACAATAATAATAATAATAATAATAACAATAATAACAATAACAATAACAACAGTAGTAGTAGTACATAAACGGAAAACTGTTCTCCAACAGTTGCCCTTTTTTTCTTTTTGATGAAAGGGGAGTCCTCAACTTACAACAGTAGTTCGGAGCAACACATTCATTGTCAAATGGTGCCCTCATTAAGTGAAGGACCACACCCAGTCTCGTGATATTTTTGCCACAGTTGCAAAGCAAAACATTGCATGATTACAATTTGCAACCTTCCCTGCTAACTTCCTCATTGACTTTGCTTGTTAGAAGCCAGCTGGGAAGGTTGCAAATGGTGATCATGTGACCCCCACATGGATGCTACAGCCATCCTAAAGTGCACAACAGTTGCCAAGTTGCCTAAATCACAATCACATGATTGTGGGGGCACTGTGATGGTCATAAATGCAAGGACCGGTCCTAAATCACTTTTTTTCAGCACTGTTGTAACTTTGAATGCCGTTAAACAAATCATTATAAGTCAAAGACTACCTTTGTACGTTGGTTCATTGGACCTACTCTGGCATAGGTTCTGACAGTGGGAATAGCCTCAAGCAGAGAATCACCCCAAACATTCCTGCTGATGGGACGAGAGGCAGAGAGAGAGATCAGTGCTGTTTTGGGGGGGGGGGGTCCCAAAGAAGCCTTGTCTCCTCACAATCCAGAAGATTCTTCAACATCTGGGGTACATTTTCAGGGAGATCCAGAAAATGATGTGGGAAGAGGGAAAGGGCCTGTCAGACCTGCCACAATTTAAGCTTCTAAATAGAAACTATCCTTGGCTCCATTTGTTGAGAAAAGAATAGTTTATTAGTGGTCAAATGTATTGGAGTAATGAATGCATAGCCAGAACAGAGAGAATCACTCACCAAAATCCCTAAGTTCAACTTTTCCCTCCCTTAGCTGTATCTCACTGCCAACCCCCATGTAACCAATCAGGTTCAGGTAAGGTATTTTCATAACAGTCAATCGAAGCATCGTTTAGTATGCAGTTCCCTCTTTCTTCCAGCTGGGTGACCTTGAGGCAGTCTCTCAAGGAGATATAGCACTTGTTTTCATTTCCCCAAGCATTCCACTCCCTTCATTCCCCCTCCCCACAGTTCATGGCAGTCTGTCACCACATAGCAATGAAGCACAAGCAAGTATAAAGTGGCAGCTGATAGGACCCAAGCATATCTAAGGGGAGAATTCCCCTGCTCCATTCAGAGTCTGCACTTAATGAAAGGTGTCCTCTTATTGCTACAGCGTTATGGTGGATTCAAGCCAATGCACAGAAAATAATACCTGTACTTCGCACTTTTCGCTCCTGTCAGAGCAAGTCTTTATATGGAATGTATACAATATATTTAAACACATATAGTATATTTTAACAAACATATTAACTATCTAGAGTAACATATTCTGCTATTAGCGTCCTCTAGGTGAATTATAACAATCAGCATTTATGTTGCACTTTTTATAAGCACAAAGCACATATATTATTCAAGCATTCCTTTTGTAGATTGTATAACAAATGTATGTATCTTTGTATTATTTATGCCCGTACTGCAGATGGAAGAAAGGGAAAACTGAGATTACCTGCTAAGGAAGTACTGTTTGTTTTTAAACAGACGCATAGTAAAATCTTGAAACAATCCAGTGCTCATCCCTTCTTATGTTCTTGATGGGGGCATTTTGGCCTAGATTTTAACTAGCAGGGCATCTGTTCAAAGGACGCTGTGATAGGATTCCAAATTTTGTTACAATTTTTGTTGGTATTTGCCTCCTTCAGAGCTCCCCTTGCATGATTTCACTGGGAGTATTTAAGAGTATTAAATACTCCTCCCAGCATGTGTCTTGTTTTGATTAAGCTGTCAACATACTTGGAATGTTTTGAAATACAGTGTAAAACTTCTCTTGAGTTGATTCTCCTGGGGTCTTGTTACACAGAAATGATTTTTAATTTTCTGATGCAAAAAGTGTCTCTCTAACTAAAACAAAAGTGTCAAGTGCAGGAAATCAGGAGCCCAGGTGGTTCAACTGAATAAAAGTTTATTATAAGCTAACACTCTACAAGAATCTGAAATACTAGTGGCCAAATTAAATTGGTGGTAGATAAGAGTCAATGGAATTCAAGATGGTCTCTTTTGGGTGCGAAGGGACTCAAGACTGGCTTGACCCTTCGGGCTCAGTCTGGTCATCTCCTACAAAAAGTCTATTACAGGTTAAAGCAGGCAAATGATATCAAAACCTTGCGCTATTCATACAAGGGACTCATCAGAGCTATCATGGAAATAATTTGTAAAAAGGTGTTGTAGAATGTATGGAAGTGCAAAATTAATTTCTGTCCATATCTCTTTAAAGCAGCTACATCTTCTCTTTTGATCACTCAGCTGCTTTCATGAGCTGCCAACCAGATTTATTTTTCCATGTCCATACACTACAAAGCACTCTTGGAACTATAATCCAAAGCATTGCAATCCTAAAATCTAGCCTGCTTCTATTTGCTTTCCAGGTTCCAAGTGGCAAGAATCTGTACATCAAATATCTGTAGCTTGAAGTTTCCTATTATGTCCTCAATTGTTGATAGTTAATGTTTGACAGATATTTAGGAACATCTGAGCTAAACTGACACCACTTGATATCCTAATTTATAAAACAATTGTTGCAGGGATGGGATTCAACTTGGTTTACCACCGATTTGGTGGGTGTGGCTTGGTGGGCGTGATTTGCATGCCCACAGAGGGGTTCCTACTGACCTCCTGCACTCTCCCTGTCTCTTCAATAGCTGATGCGTGGCAATCTGCTGAGCCGTGTGATGCAGCTGAGTGTCAAGAGCAGGAAATAAAAGTCAGTATGGAGCCCAGGCGGATGAGCCCAGCTGCTGTTCGTTGCAGTGAACCGGTTCGCTCCCAGGTGGTCTTCAGAGCTACAGGTTCAAAGGAACCGGGCCGAACCGGTAGAATCCCACCCCTGCATTGTTACTCAAATAATTTTGGGAATTTATCTTTTCCTAAGAGGGAGGTAGCATCATATTCACAATATCTGTGCGGTATCTTTGTTAAACAACTTTTGCTACTTTGTTTTCCTGCCTATCTAAGTGCTATAGCATGGAATTTCTGATTCTAGCACATTCATCTAGTGGATGTGTCAGCTCTGCATTCCACTGATACAGTACTATATATCTAAAGTTAAACAAAGATTGAAGGTGGCTTTTCACCATGCTGACTATGAATATCTCATTCCCAGAATATTTTTGTTTCTTTGGCCTAGGACCAAATTTTCTTGGAGATTTTCAATTGACTCTGCTAATCTCTGTGAGTGGGTGATTCTTCTGTCACTTCAGAATCAGTATCAGACCAACAAAATCAGGGTGCCCATTTAAATATTTGCATTCGTTTGCTTCTCATTCATTGGTGGGCATGAAAAACCAAATCCCTTCTTATCTTATTTACAGGGCTCAGAGCTGACAGATTTAGTTCTCTCCTGATTGGATGCAAGGGCTAATCTGAACTGACTTGTATTCTCCTAGTAAGCAAACACTTAAATATGAGTCAATGGTGTTCTGCAGTTGCCAAAAAGCCAATGTAGTCCTAGACTGTATTAGCAGAGGGATAGAATCAAGATCACGTGAAGCGTTAGTATTGCTCTATAACAGGGATATCAAACTCAAGGCCCAGGGGCTGGATCTGGCCCACGGAGTGCTTAGATCTGGCCCATGGGGCCACCCTAGAAACAGCAAAGGACTGTCCCACAGTGCCTCTGCCAGCGAAAACAGAACCCAGGAGGGCCATCTGCGGCCCTCCCAGGTTGCGTTTTTGGCTGCAACGGCCTCCTGCCGCCCTCTGCCAGTGAAAACAGAGCTCGGGGGAGGGCATTTTTGCTGGCAAAGGGTGGCAGGAGGCCATCGCAGCTGAAAATGGAGCTCTGGACTCGTTTTCGCTGGCAGAGCTCTTGGGCCACCACAGATGCCCCTCAAATGAGTTACATCAAGCTTACCCTGGTGACACCCACCCCAATCCCTGAGGTCAAACACAACTCTTATGCAGCCCTCAATGAAATCGAGTTTGACAGCCCTGCTCTATAAGGTCTTGGTAAGACCACACTTGGAATATTGCATCCAGTTTTGGTCATATTATAAAAAATATGTTGAGACTCTGGAAAGAGTGCGAAGAAGACCTACAAGGATGCTTATGGGGCTGAAGGCTAAAACATATGAAGAATGGCTGCAAGAATTGGGTAATCAACCAACTTAGAATTAAGAAGAAATTTCCTGACAGTGAGAAATACAATTAACTGGTGGAAAGATTTGCCTTCACAAGTTATGAGTGCTCCATCACTGGAGGCTTTTAAGAAGAGGGTGGACAGCCATTTGTCTGAAATAGTATAGGACT